AGGAAAGAATTGTTCTTCATTGGGAAATTGTAGAACTTGCCAGCTTTGCCTTACCTGACAGCTTCTCGAGGTCTACGTGACCATTGGTGCATATTCCACGCTCAGATTGTTAGGAATTTTATGGCTAAGTGGTGTCTGCTTTTTGTTCAGTAGAGCCTATCAATATCATTCAGTATCCAGGAATAAAACACTGGGATTTTAATGAACCATTCAATTCTCTCTGTTTTTTTCAAAGTGAATACATGCCTAAAACCTACTTTCAAAGGGTTTTCTGAACGACAGTGGGATAAAATGGAAATTTAACTTCTTACCTCTTAGATCTGATATGAAACACCTAGAATGTATCCACCTCAGAACTGTAACAAGATTGTGTTACTATTCATTTTCCTAGAATATGTCCCCCCTGCCTTCTGTTTAAATTACTCTATAATAGATTCAGTTATTGCAAAGTGAGAAAACTCATAACAGGCTTTGGAAACACATATAAATGTATATATGTAAAGAAATGGGGACACCTGGCAGTCATCCAGCGAGGGGCCTGGAGATCACGAATGTGGTCCAAAAGGAAATACATTGAGAGGTAAAACGTAGTAAAATAATTTTCATGGAATAGTGCGACAATTGCTTTAAATTGTCTGCCATAAGAACCCATAAGACAATGACGGCACTGTACAGGGTTCTGTGATAGCTTTGTGTAACCTGTACGACTGCTGACTTTTCATATCTCCAGCTTTCCGATTTCTGTCCTTCCAGGTGTTTTTATTCATTATTTATATATCTGTAGCCAATGAAACTAAACATGCACCACATTTATCCCATAATAGAATCTTCCTTCTATTGATTCTGCTCTCATTTGTCACCATCAGTGATTTTCAAAAGACACTTTCTTTTGTGCATTGTCAATATTTCTATTCATATTGACCACATCTTCAAATGTTACCAGATCACCAGCTACATGAATTAGAACAATTAGAATTAATGTGGTTTCATGCAATGTTTTTAGATCAGTGCGGGTATTTGGGGAAAGTAAGTTACTCGTAAAAGTATACAAATAGAAGTATCAGTTACTCGTACATGTGTAATACATTCTCATCACACCCACCAGGAAATAACAACATAACTCATATTTTCAATGCTAAGCCTCAATGTTTGGGATATTAATTAATAATTAGATCTTGATTTGATGGTAGCAGTGATTTGCACAGTATACGCTAGACTTGCGCACAGCAAAAAAAAATGTGGCTTGTCTGAATAAATACTTACAAAAATAAATAAAAATTGTTCAGGTAGTCCAAACTTCACCCATATAGCAATAATAATAGTATATATAAATCCAATACGAATGTTTCTTAGTAAATAGCGTGCTGGAAACCCTATGGTATCCCGATTGTTAAACAGAAATCTACTGAAGTGTTTTGATTTTACGATATTTGGACTGGAACTCTGCCGTGTTGGACTTTCATAGAACTTTGACGGATCTTCAACTTTGGAAACTTTAAATAAAGCTATTGGATTACTCGTGGATTAATCATTTATTTATGTCATAACTTCCTCAGTCTCAGTTGAAATTAAATATTTATCCAAAATAGGTTTTTCTGATCCATTTGTGTTTTATGAAATTGCTTACTTTATATGAACTGAAATAAACTCGCATTGAGTCACGTATAACAATAGCAGTGTGGTTATCATTAAATAGCAGTCCATACAAATTCACAGCTGGTATATAATGAAAGAGTGCAATCCGTCCGGACTGTAAAAGGCATCTCATACTTCCAGTTACAAAATAAAATGTATCAAATCATTCACCTACCATCCATACTGCGCTGTGCATTTATAGCGAGAGGCACTAGCTATAGGCACTGAAGACATACAGGTAGAAAAATAATACAATTTGTATTTACTGTAGAAAAAAAAAAGATTAGGGATGCACAGCCAGAACACACATTTCTAAATAGTGATGATGCAATAAAGACCAAAATGTAACCAAAATATAAAAAAAGGGGACCGAATTTTTTTTCGGATCTTAAAAGCCAACTTTAAATCACAATGTAACACAAATAAAAAAGGGGATTTAGTCATACCATATGGCCATGCCAGGCACACCTAGAACATACGTCTTAATAGATTGTATTTTATTTTTCACATTTCCTCAAATTTACCATAGCTCTAGTTTCTTCCAGTAAAATTCATCACGGAAGGTGGCTCACAAGTGGTTGAGAACCTAAAGCTGTGCTGGGAATGTGATGTTTTAAAGCTGATGGTATTATTTCAGCTCAATGCCATGTAATGCCATTTACATTTGGTTGGGGTTCCAAATGAAATGTTTAGGGATCTAGGTTATGAAAGATGTCTTTTACTTTAGGGAGGTAGTCTTCAAATTGTGAGTAGAATCCTTTTGGTTTTTTTTAAGTTTTTACTCCAAAACACTAATTGTATAATGGATTTTTTTTTTAATGGAAGTCTACAAATTTTGCACTTTATTATTGCTTGATCGATAATTTGTGTATATATAAAAAAAAATGCAAAACCAATATAATTGATAGTTATTGTCTACATTTCAACATCAGACACAAATTAAAACAAATTGTTACTCAAATAAGGATATACTTCTGTTTATCTAAATGTTTAGTCTAGTATAGCAAACACAGGGTTAGACTATCTCTATCTCTGGAGTGCTAGATTAACCAATTCACATCACCCCTGGAGCATGCGTTTATCAGCTGGAAATAAAAAAAATGACCTTCAGGTTTCAGACAAACTTTCAGCCAACTTGTGAAAAAGGTCACTGATTACCTGAAAAAAGGTCACTGAAAAATGTTACTGAAAACTTTGCATAAACTTTCCAGTCTGCAAAAGCCCCCCATACGAACAAAAAAAATATACAAGTCTTACAAAAAGAGGTTTTGCAGTTTCTATGCATTTTCATTGTGAAGATATGGAAAATTGTCATCTTCCATAAAGAGGGCAAAAACGTTCTTCTGTAAGAGAAAAGGAAGTGTCCAGCTTTCTCACTAGCAGATAGTCAACCAAGCTGAAATTCAATAAATTATATATATATATATATATATATATATAAAAATACAAAATACCCCTGCACTCCAACTAGAGAAATAAAAATAGTACCTGGTGCTCTGGTGGCTTAATCATAAACAAAGTGAAAATACCGGCACTCAAGGTTTTCCAGAAGATAACTTCTCCATTTATTGCGGAAAAAAATTCGACGTTTCAGCTCCACTGGGGAGCTTTCAACAGGTGTCCTGATGAAAGCTCCCCAGTGGAGCTGAAACGTCAACATTTTTTCCGCAATAAATGGAGAAGTTATCTTCTGGAAAACCTTGAGTGCCGGTATTTTCACTTTGTTTATATATATAAATACATTTACAGTGCAATTGCAGGTTGAGAGTAAAAATATCAGAGACAAATAATTTTATAATTTAGCTTTTTAGTGTAAAGAATGTAAAACTTACAGTAAATGCAGGGAAAATATTGCTTTCCATCCCAAGTGAGTTAAAACGTCCATTGTTGGAAAGTTATGATAGCTATATAAAAATATAAAATTACATTTCTATATAAATTTTAAATTTTAATTTGGATTTTGGATCCTTCGAACATGTTAGAAGGTCCTGCAGGTTCTATATAATTTTAAAATTTTAAATTTTATTTTGGATCCTTCAAACATGTTAGAAGGTCCTGGAAGCATACAATCCCCACAGATGAGGGACTCTGGAAATTTTAACACAGCCTTTTTCCTGGATTAAAACAGTGTTTATCACAACATAGAACTAGTGCTTTCAAAATGTATTTTTTGTTCAGTACAATGTGAATGGATTGAAAGAGAGGAGCTTCCATTAACACAGGCCATGGGAAAGGCATAACAAAAGTATGAGATCCGTAGCTATATCCCAACAGGATATCCCATTTCCTGGGTAGATGCTTGACCCATCAAATGTCCCAAGTGGGCATACACCTAGTACTCTGGGGGCTTAAAAGCCACATTCATGTCTGATTTATTATAAATAATGTTCGGCTAATATAGAGGAAAGATCAGAATCGGGAAGCTGTGGAAGAAAATGGAGAAACAAGACACCCATTGGAGAGAGGGGAAAAGTGAAGACCCACAGAGACTGGTTTCTCGGTGTAGCCAGGAACAACTGCAAGCAGGAGTCGCACAGGGAAATGTCATCTTGGTGATTGCATAGTGTCACCACAGGAGCCCGGCAACCGGTGTCTTCACACAAAAGCAAGCACTGTAAGTGCTTTCTGTGCAAAGTATTTGACATCTACATCTTGGTCTTCAGTTAACTTCTCCAGCACTGGCTTAACTTCCTTCTGAAGGGTGCTCTCATCCAGAGTAGGTCCTATCTTTTGGAGGGAATTGACCACATTAAATTGTAAATTTGCCACAGCATCATCAGCCATTCTTACCACTGTAGGCAACGTATGTTTGGTGGTAATGACCTGTCTACAAACCTCCGAGAGAACATTGATGCAGAACTATATAGGTATTTGGGGTCATTGGACATTGCTAACACTTTAGGAATGATGGTGACCTGAGCCCAGTCTTATCCAAACTTCTTCACCAGCTTCTTCATGTTGCTTATCGCTGTCTCTCTGATGGCATAGACATGACCTACCAGCCAAGCCACACATAACGAATTCAACTTCTCATCAAAATACTCCACACCCCGCTGCCCAGCAATGAGAGGCATATATTCAATAATAGCCAGCCGCACACGCCAATTGGCATCTTCAGCCAGCTCCACAATAGTAGGGAGAGGTGACTGGGAGAAGATGTTCTATGGTGTTCTCCTTCCACAAAAATAGGTGAGAGACCCATAATGACAGACGCCAAGGCAGATTTCACATGCTGGTATGCGTCTGAAACAAGCTCCTTCACACATGGCAATATTTGCGTCATTATCACATTTTCACGGCAGTCAGCAGACAGGTTCTTACAAAACTCTTGAACCTTGTGGGAGGCAGCATCTCAGGCCTCAGCTTCACAGTCCTTCAAGAGGTTCTAAAAAAAAAGCAGGAACCAGGTCTGTCTTGGTAATTTCTGGACCAACAGCTTTCCGGAGCTCTGTGAATTTGTCAGCCACCACGTAACGAACACAACATTTGTCCTCTGCCGCCTGGCTCAATGTTGGCATAACGAGAGGCTCCAGCTCCTCCTGAGGTAAAAGTTCAGCAATATTCACACATGCTTCTACGGCCAGCAGGCGCACAGAATCCTGTTCATCGGAAGCGAGGTTGGAGAACATGGGAATGATTTCACTCTTCACATATTCCAGCTCTAAAACCTTTGCAAATTCCCCCAATATTGAAGCTGGTGCTCTCCTCACCCTGGGAGTGTAATCTGAGCTCAGGTTTCGGAAATGCTGCCGGAATTCTGCTTTAACAGTACTGGACACGCGGGGATAGAAGACACTGAAGAAGCCACAAGAAGAAGTGTAAGAGGTTAACCAGTCACTACTAGTCAGTTGTTTAACCAAAGGGACAAAATGGGCTTCCATGTCTGAAGGGGTGTGCTCATGGGAAATGGTACGCAGAGACTCTACTGCTTTGTCTCAAAGAACTGTCTCCTCCACTGTTGCCAGGCTCTACAGCGGTGGCAGTATGCAGTGAACAAATTCAGGTTTGCCCACCAGTTAGGAGCTCACTGTACATCTTCTCAACTCCCAGTGCCAAAGCAATAGTCGAAAGCTTTTTGATGCTATTAAGATGAAGCTGAACATCGTTACGCAGCTCATCGATGAGCACGACAATGGGATAGTGCAAGTCATCGCCATCGGCAGCCTCTATCTTGTTCTTTATATAATGGATTTTTTTATGAATAAATAAACCAATTGTAAATGGACCTCCTTTATTCTTCCCTTTATTCTACCCTTGACAACAAAGGATAAGCCTTAGAGACTTACACTAAAATCTACTAAAATTAACCCTTAATCTCCTAACCTTAACCGATGGAGGAAATACCCAGTTATGTCATAGGCATCAGTTGTGCCACCAATCTGTAGCCGAATGTGGAATTGAAAGGAAATTTAAAGCACGCAGCTTATTGGTAAATATACGGTCACCATATTTGACCCAAGGTGACACAGTGGAGTTTTGATACCTGGGACTTTCCAGTACAAGGAAGACTCGTACCTTGCATGGGCCAATTGTAGGACACTTACCCACCTCCATAATTCAACACCAATGGGTGGCATTCTACATCAGGAAGAATTGGGATGTGTATAGATAATATATATGATTAGCATTATATTTTATATTTTATTGTAACAATGTGCCATCTTGAATACAGTTTATACTATGAACTAGTTTTCCCCACCGAGCAAGCATTTTTGATTATTTTTTTTTTTTATGAAGAAGTGGCAGCAGTAGGGTTCTTTCAATACTCAGGTAGAATAGAACCTGCCAAAAATGAGGTGCAATGACGGATTATGCATTTACTGTAACTAAATCCCCATTATATTTTACCTAGATCATGTGTTTTTTTTTTTTAAACCAAAGCATTTTGTGAGCTTTAAAGCTAGTGTTTAGTCAGAGACCGTGATAGATAAGGTATCCATCATAATACATGCATGTTTAGGTATGTGTGGCCTACTTGGTTCTTAGACTAAATCACTTGGTTTTATACTCCATCCTGTCACAGGTGCCTCGTTCCAGGGCCACTTTATGTTTTTGCAATCGTAGGCACAAATAGAAAACGGAAAGAATTTGTACCGTTTCCACTGCTTTCTATAAATATGTATGATGGTCTAAAGGATTTTTTAATCAGAAGTCATGAACAAACTTGGGAATCAGATGACAGACAATATTAGTGCTTAAGAGAAACATTGTTAAATTCTATACAATCGTTGTACTTCTGAGAATGATTAAAATTCCACAAGGCCCTAGGCAGATTACTGGTTTGTGCCCCTCTCCCCTTCTCTCTTTACATAGGGCTGGTGAATGGGATCAAGAAAATTCAGGGGCTCTGAGGCCCTTGTCAAACACTTTGGCCCTAGGTGACCACACAAGGTCACAGTATGGCAAATCTCTGTTTTACTGTCTTCGGTCATCTAGTAGATTTTTGTTCCTCTCTGGCCTTTTGCTGATCTCTTTTTTTCAGAGTAAAGAAAAGTTCACTGAAATATCATCTTTAGCATTCCCTGTAGATTTTCATATCTGGCCTACACCGTCTCTGAAACCCAAGTTGAAATGGCAGGTTGCACATGCTGTATTGGAATCATATCTCAGCTCCTGTTTCCATTTATGTTGTTCTTAAACAATTTTAACAGATGGTTAAATATCGCAGTTTCCTTTTTTGTGATGTAACCTCCTTGCTGTTAGTGCACATAATTTATTAACAACTAAACTCTGTGCTAGTGTGAGACTTAGTGATGTGGTTTTCCAACTGATGCCAGAGTCTCCGTCCTACTAATCTGTTTTCAAGCTACACATATCCCTGAGGTTTTATTTTGTAAATACATAAATTAATGTTCATTGAAGAGCGTAAAGCGGGCAGCGGACAGCTTTACAGTCGGTTTTAGTTTGTATTTAGAAGTTGTGGTTCTTTGGAAACAACGAGTGAAATAAAATGTTGGATAAGAGAAATGGAACCTAATATCTCTTATTTTAAAATGTCAGCTGAAAGAATGCTTTTAGCATTGGAGAACCATTCGGCATATGGAAGTCTTTAATATCTGTAAAGAACTTCCAGTACCACAATGTGATGTTAGAGTATGCATTTGGGAGCCGGCGTGACTAGAGGAGGCCTAGAGAATGAAGTAGCAGGGAGACAAGTTCGAAAAACAAACAGCAACAGTGACAGTGTTCTTTTCCAGCCTGATGGATGAAAGAACGTAAATGGGGGGTTTAGAAAGTGAGAAAGGAAGGAGCCGGTTCTATCTTCCAAGACAAACTCACGCATGTTCCAACGCTCGCTCTGAAACAGATACACATAAAGGGACTCTCAGAGTAAATGAGAAGCACAGCCAGAATTCACATCCATGCACTTCCTCTACTAGAAAACATGATAGATACTTGGATGTTTTTAATAACTGTATCAGATTTGTGCTTTGCTTGGGACACAAAATATGAGGTCAATTGAGATTCTTTATAGAAATGACTTTATGCCCAAGAGGGTGATCTGCTAGCTGTTGAGTTGCCAGTTCAATCGCTGGCTAAATGCCTATGACAATGTATAGAGGCTACTTCTGGAGCTGTTATTGCTTCAATTTGTTACAGCAAATAATCCTTTCTCAACTGAAGCCATGTGTCTTGATAAATACTGCAGCATTCCAAGAGTTACAAGTCTTGGGGATAATAAAATTGTGGGTGCAAAAAAGTCTCTTATAGTATTCCTTCAATCTAAATTAATCTATATTAAATTCACTCACATATACAGTGTTTTTGGCCATTGTTAACATTTGTTTAATAATATGCCTTCAGTAGGAGATTTTTATGGGTGAATTCTTTGTTAAATTTCATTAGAGGTTTGAAAAATGAATCATGGGAAATGCTGATTTACATGAAATGCCCTGACATTGCCTGTTCAAAGGCAGTTAAGATGACCGGGTGAAATAATATTGAAACTAAACAAAGGAGAACCTTTTGTGTAAAACCTGGGTTCATAAATACTTAAATAAATAGTGGACATATATAATAAAGGTGAAATGGAGCAGCAAATATTTCATCCATAAAAGCAGATTTGTAAGATCTTGAGCCACAACTCAAGTCCTTAAAGAAGCACTATAGGGTCAGGAACACAAACATGTATTCCTGACTCTAGTGTTAAACCACCATCTAGCCCCCTTGGCCTCCTTAAATATAGCAAAATCTTACTTGTATTCAAGTCTTCAGCTAATGGCTCTGCCCCTGATCTGCCTGCTTGCCTGACATCACCAGAAGTGAGGATTGGCTGAGCCTGTGAAGCAGGCAGATCAGGGGCAGAGCCAGCATAAGCCAAACACAGCCTTGTCCAATCAGCATCTCCTCATCGAGATGTATTTAATCAATACATCTCTGTGAGGAACGTTCATTGTTTCCATGTAGGAGGTGGAGAAACTGAATGGCAGTACTGCACAGTGTGCAGCACTGCCCCATGAAGCACGTTGTGTAGACATCTGAGGAGTGGCCAGTGGAGGTATCCCTAAGCCATAATGTAAACACTGCATTTTCTATGAAAATGCAGTGTTTACAGCAAAAAGCCTGAAGGGAATGAATATACTCACAGGAACAAATATAATAAACTGTAGTTGTTCTGGTAACAATAGTGTCCCTTTAAATAATAAATGGATATAGCTTTTACCTGAGGATATATGGTACTGTAGATTATTATTTATTAGTATTACTGCTGCTAATACTATTTATAATAAAAATCATTAAGCAGTACATAACAGGGAGAGAGTAGGTTTCCAGACATTCTTTATTTTGAAGGACATAATGGTGCATGTATAATTAGATTTAATGGTAATTTAGAAGGCAGCTGGTTGCCCCACATAATGTTATTGTGTTATACATCAATCCAGCACTCAATAAGTTAACTGGAAAACTGAGAACAGTTTCTTGGTTTTCAGCCTATAAAATTCCCTCCATGCAATAAAGATTTTTCTATCTAGTTTATACAGCAAATGGGATTTTAAATTTGCCGCTGTGGTCAAAGTGTTGATAGATTCCACAGATGTCTGGGTGTTTGGGACTCAATCTTAGTTTAAAGAAATGCTCTAATTTTCACCCTAATATGCTCAATATGTTTTCCAACAGTTGTAAATACTTTTCTGCCAGCGGGAAGGATTTTGGCACCTGCAATGCCTTTTGCTAAAAAATAAACGTCTGCTATTGCAACTGCCAGCGTTCTTCGCAAGTCTAGTTACCTATTCTTCTAGAACATATTTTGAAGTTCTAAATGACATGACTCACTAGAACTATGGAAATTCCAAAATTAGAACATCATTATCTGTTTAGACTACAGATCTAGTGACGCAGTACACAGCAATTTGTTCCAGAATGTTGTACACATCATATGTTTGTAATATATATAAAGACATGCTGGATTGAAAAGCTTTAATGTCTACAAACATTTAGCATAAAATATATTGGAGCCTGAATAATTCTCCTGCCTCTAATGTTAACTTTTTGTTTCTAGAATATTGTACAGAGAGCAGTTGGCCTTTCTAACTGGTTGGGGATGGAATTTTGAGGGTAAGAATAGGTAGATATGGGTCAATTTTACCTTGTTTTGAGTGTACTATCTGCTGGCTGAGTAACGTTGTGGTGATTTTCTTGGAAGACTCTAGTAGGGCTATTTACTAAAATGAGAATGTGTTCATTCAAAGTAAATTTCATATTTAAGGACAAAGAAGCCAAACTGAAAACTTCTCGAGGGCTACACCGTTCCTGTGGAACTAACTTCCCTCCTCCGTTAGCTGCTCACCCAGTCTCCACTCCTTCAAAAAATCATTAAAAACCCACTTCTTCATAAAAGCGTATCAATTAAACTGTTAATAGCTCCTGACTGATTCCTCTC